TTTTTTTTTTTAATAAAAAAGTTTGTCAGTTCGTTGATGAAATATTCTATTTTTAAAAAAATGTGACGATGAATAAATATTTATTTCGAATATGCTTAATCTAAAACAATAAATAGAGGTACCTATATAAAAATTCAAACATTGTATAAAAACGAACGTATACACTTTATTTTTCTTAACATTAATCGGTTATTTACACGCGGTCATGCACGTCGACTAATAATGATATTTYGGGTGGGCAACGAACATCAGTTTTCACTGCTTAACTTTGTCGCTTTGTTGCAGTTTTTTTTTCAAGATTAAAAAAAAAATGTCCCACAATCTACAAAACACAAATATAAAATAATATATCATTTTTACAACATGTTATATTTGAAAAATGTCGCGCTGGTCGGTGGGCGCTGGTAAAGCGGTTCACTAAGCTTGACCTACACAAGCACGCGTGTGGAAGGGACAAGACAAAAATAGACAGCCAAGGTTAATTCGAACTTTGAGAAGCGAGTTACCGGAAAGTGCAATGGCCATTGTGCATTGATAAGAACACGAAAGCTAAACTATGAATATATTCATATTCCTCCTGTATACCTATAACGGTAACCTTGAAAAATGGTATACGCGAAAATCTATATAAATCTATCTAATATATATATATATTGTGTTATATAAATATAACATTTAATATTAGTGTTATGTACCTTGAACTTTGAGACGCGATTATGAGAAGCGTATACGAGTATGATAAATATTGCTAATTTACAAGTGTTTCGTTATACGAATTATTACAAATGGTTTTAAATCGGTCGTGTCTATGAGCATCGTATCATCCAAACGGTTCGCCAAGTCAATTAAAAAATGAGAATTATAGTTATTACAGTGAAATGGACGCAATATCGATATTATATTTAATTTAATCTTATATTATGTTAAACTAATACTATAATATATACATGATCTTTGAATGATCGCTTTTGACTATTAAGAATCTGATCACTTGACACGTTCCAATAACAAAACAAACTATCCTAAAATAATTATTATTGTTGTTACTATTATTTATTGCAGATGTTGCAATTAATATAGTTTATTTGGATAATTTTAAACGAAACTTCAATTTAAAATATTCTATTTCTATGCATTCGTTGATGTACAATGTATATTATACATAAACCTAACTAGTTAGTAGGTAAAGATAAAGATTATAATTTTTTGACGGGAAATAAGGACGAAGAACGTAATTGATCGATTGAAACAGAAAATAAACTCGTCCTGGCTCGTGCAACAGTCAATAAAAGTTCAGTTTTTTTCAATATCATCAACATTACAATCGCAATTCGTTGAAACCTTCAGAAACCGATAGGAATTGAAACCATTGAAATTTTATTGCTAAATAGTCAAATATCAGGTGATATGACCTATGACCATGAACTTAGCGGATCATAGTTATATAGAAATATACAATGTATAATGTATATAATATATATTATATATATATAATACTATATTAAGCGATTTATTTTTAATTGACTTTTAATTTTAATTTTGTCATTACGGTACGACGCGGTTTATTTGCATTTTAGCGCCAAAAAAAACAAATGAAATAGTTTTGAAAATATGGTTCCAAGTTGGCCTGGGTTTGAAATACCGCAGCAGCGCAGATGTCAAAACACGCGAGTTTACAATTTTATCGCTTTAATTGCCACGTAGAAATTAAATAATTGCCGTATAGTATATGGTCTCTATTGGAGTATAATTTATCCATATTATACACTCTTTACCGATAGCATTGTTACCTATCGCCTTTCATATGATAATATAAAATTAACCATTAACTCATTATAGATATAACCAATTCATTTTTATGATGATTTATTTCGCATCAAGTTATTCATAAAAATAGGTTTTAAGACTGTTATAATATAATACAATGTATGTCATGTTATATTATGTGTTTTCGAGCAAATAAGTGCTAAAACTTGAATCAGTATTATGTTTTCTCTATCTCTTCTTCAAGCATCCAAAGCGATTCATTTAGATAATATACAAAATGATTCACCAAGCATGCCCTGTCCACATCATTTAATGTTATAATGAATTTATTAAAATTCTGTTTTTTGGTATTTTTAAATACACTTAAAGAGCATATTATTATTTTCAATTTCTTGAGATTTTTGTAAAGGATAATTTTTTTTGAACATTTTAACGTATCGCAATCAAAATTCAAACGAGTAATTTTTCAGTTTCTTAACATAAAGTAAAAAATATGTATAAACCACCTTATTGTTAGTGTATATTATACAGAGTGATTTTTTTCGACAGTGAACGAACTCGATTAGTGATACGCGCTGGGTACCTATCTCGTACGTGGATTACATTCTTACATGTGAGGGATGAAAGTTAAGAAAGAAAAAAATGCACTTTAATATAATATCGCAGGATATGTCGAKAACTTTGTGAAACGAAAAAACGGTATAGGGCGATACCTCTCGTTTACGAAATACCGTGTTTTAAAAATATAAGGTATATTATGATGATTATACTAATCTGTTASCTATCACATTCGATGTTATAAATTATAATGATGATATATGAACTTACATTTTAGACAGGCGGACTTTGGCGGGCGGCGGATGGTGGATGGCTCGTTTACCAGTACGCGGAAGCGTCGTTTTTCTGGTCGCGCCACCCGGACCACGAGTTCTGCCTGGATTGGGCCCCGAAGTAGTGGACGGGCTGTTTCGGATGGTGATCGAAGTCTGCGACCAGGACAGGCGACAGGAGGGATTGGTGCGGCGACGGCGGYAGTGCGGCGCCGTTGGACGGGCTGCCCACGGACAGGCAATAGTTGAGGCCGTCGTTGTTGTCCCAACACTCGAAATCGGCACTCTTGTAGCACACGGCGAACTCCATGGACGCGGCATTGGTGGGCAGAGGTAGTTGGAACGAGAACGTGTCATAGATGGCCGCGACGTTTGGCGCGGGACCGGTGGCCAAACACGAACCGTTCGCGGCCGCGTTCACCATCGCGTTGTTCTGCACGTACGTGCACTGCGTATCTTCGTGACCGGCCCAACGGTCGTGTGTGCACCGGACGAACACGGCTTTGTCGTACGACAGGTTGCGCACCTTCACCGTGCCCACGATTCGCCTGTCCGGCGACCGGACGATCACGTTCTCCAGCGAAACGTTGTCCGTGTCCAGTCGCTTCCGGAAGTCCACGTAGCTGGAAGCCGGCTGCGAGAATCTGAGGTGCCATTGCTGCCGTAGTTGTTCCGTACCTCCCGTTTGTTTGGCCACCACCGCTGATCCCGATCCCGAGCCGGAGGCATCTACTTGATAGAACGACGACGAMGCCGCAGCCAATTTGGGCAAGTACGGTTTGACGGTCATCAGTTTAGGTGGCTGGTTCGACGGTTCGTTCATTAATCGCACCTGGGAAAACAAAATTAAACGTTTAATTATAGTCATCTGCAACRTTTAAGTCGTCCGCTTTTATCGTTTTTGAGTTAAGGTCATATGGATTACGGTTTTAAGTGTTTCCTATTCTTGTGCGATGTATAAATAATATGATAAATTAATTAAGATGAGTAKAAATTACTGAAAGATAAGAACAAACTTGAATTAAATAATATAGCCTGATGAGTATTTTTTGTATACACYCAAATGACGTGTTAAGACAAACCAATTTGATTAGAGTTAGATGGATGACAGAGTGCCATGYCATGCATAATAGCCACCGTGTCTATTAACTGTGCTATWTAYGCTATAAATATAGTTGTGGCATAAAACAAATAATTTTAAACTTTTACACTTATATAACTTATGAGCAAGTATACTTATTTTACATAATAATTAATGCTAATCACTAATCATATTTTTTTACATATTTGTAATTAATATTGTTTTAAACATTTTGCAACTCCTCACCTCACCAAATAAAATCTTAAATAGACTACTGGTTAAAACTTATATTATAGTACCCATAATAATGCCTGCAACCGTTTACCGAGGYAATATGATGCCAGTTACCTATTAAATATAATACCCAAWCACCACGAGCTGGTAAAATAATAGTTAAATATTTTGTAATAAATGATTCTATTAGCTGATAACTAACRACTGTTTTGTAGAGAAAAAATAATTTTTTAATCAAACGACATGTCGATTACGTGCTATTTAAAGAAAATCACGTTTCGTACATGATTGCATGTATCAAGCTGATTATGCTACCACACAAGTTTCAGGTCATCGTATTCGACGACACGCAGCATCCGAAGTATACCGACAGACGATAACCTAGAGAAGTTACGACTAAATAACAATCGTATTACGCTATCGTTATGCTATATTAAATATAACTATCAATGATAACAATATGTTATAGGTAATTGGTCACACTYACGTCGAGTGATATCGGGTAAGTTATTTTTAAAAGATATCCTACTTATATACTTACCATAGACGTCATGGTAAGAGGGAGGGGAAGCTGKAGCCATTGTTCGCCTAGACTTTTGGATTTTTTTGGAATACTATGGTAAATTAATAATTACTATATTATGAGAAATTATAGGTCAAATCTAACTTAACTTAGAAGCTTATTTAAAAAATATTGAATTTTATAATATATCTACAAGCTCCTTCACACAAGACGACAAACTTCTACGATGCCTATCAATTACTTATTACTACAAGTCAGGTCGMTCATCACAAAATAAAATACCAATGATAGAGACTAAATTTATAGCAGAGTAGGCTTTAGGGTTTCGAATTTTTTTATGGGTATGATTTATGGGTTTATTTATAAATTATAAGTACCTACCTAAACTAAAGGCTATAAGGATGGTGAATCAATGACACACGTGCCAAAGGTGGCACACCGTTGGCCCAATTTTAAAAGCACCAGAAATTATTTTTGTTTCATGTTTAATMTTGTATAGTTGCATTCAATAAAAAGCAATAATAATAATTCTGTATACACACAATATTATTATTTTGACACTCAATATTCGCGTCGGGATATRGGAAGTTGTGAAAGTTTATTTTCCACAGTTTACATTTTCCTCAAAATGTTAACGATTAAAAAAGGTTCACCACCTCTACAATAGACACGATCCTCAATCCCCATTTTTTATTTTTTATTTTGTCTTACAATACAATTTATTATTTATACTAAAAAAATATAAATTTTATTTATACCTTCACTGAAGTACGAATTGTTTTTTATATTAAATACCTAGGTATATGATATCAATTTACAATTTTTTATTTAACTGCCTATATACTTTTATAATTTAAGAATTATCGAAAAAATGTATTGATGATATAACAAATAAGTTTAAAGACTTACATTATTTTAACAATGTGTGTAAAATAAATAACAAAAAAAAAACTAAATTAAATATTCTACTAATAAATGATAATTCTGTATTGTCCGTATGAAAACGGCTCGACCATTTTAACGTTAGTTAAGCACCAAAAAATGTGAAATGGGGTAGCCATTACTCGCGAATGGTTAATGGTTTTTGGAGGTAACTAATAAATGTTTACTAATATTGTCAAACTAGAGAGTGTCACTTACATGAGTCAGTGACAGGCCTCGGTCGTCGGCGAAAACGACTTTCTTTTTCCTCCGGATCGGACTGGACGGCTCGTTCTCGTCGGAAGACGAACTCGACGACGATGACCCTATGCTACCCTCAGAATCGGCCCTGATCACTAGGCACGGTCGGCGGGGCTTACCGGATGTCGGCAAATGGGCCACTATCTGCTGTTTGTCGTCCGACCGGGTCGGCGAGAAGGAGGACGACCGGCGCACCGACAACGGCGACTGTTGCTTATGTTTGTTCACGACCAACCAGTTCTGATAGAGTACGGACAGATCTTGTGATGGGCCACTGTAGATTGGCGGGCTGTGTGCCACCATGACGTCGCAGCATTCGGTCAACATGTTGGCGGACGATCGGCGCGGACTTTTGTACCTATAAGCGAACAAAAACAACAGCGGCGAACACATTTTATTGACGGATATTATACACGGGAAAGCTGTGATTATAATATATCATAATATAATATTATAATTTATTAGGTCGTCACGTGTAAAATAATTTTTACAAGTATTAAGATATTGGTGTAGCGACATAATCGTTGCGGATACCACATATCGGACGTACGCGAACACAGACACCCTCTATCCAACGCGTATATAATATATATGTTTGGTATCGTGTGTGGAGACCTTTAAGTACACAGAGGCCACGCATCGGTGGCGGGCAGGTACTGCTGCAAATTAACGACGGCTAAAATGTTAATTTGTTACACCTATATAAAGAGTTCCGGCAATTCTAGCAAACAGAAAATTAAAAAAAAAAAAAAAAAATTCATCATTAACATTTTCACAATACAGTAATGTTAGCAACACCAATAATTAGCGACACCACTAATTTTAATAATTGAGTACATGACGTCACAATGACGTCCAATAATAGTGTAAAACCCGAAAGAAATCTCCCTGATTGAAACAAGCAAMAGCCCCGCATTCAAACATTTCGTGCATTTGTTGTAACCTAACGATGTTGGTAAAACTAAAAAAAAAAAAAATTGTATTTGAGACATAGCCAATTTGAACAACTTAAAAGCATTTTTAACAGCAAAAAAAATTTCGGTGAAACATTTCAACGAATAATAAATTACGAAAGGAAATAACTCATTAAAGGTATATCACTCATACACTCATTGCCACACCAATCAACCACGGGAAACTGTTATGATTGTTGTGTATAATAAAATTAATTACTAATAAGCAAGTATAGTATGTATAAGATATTAAAATGTCTAATCACTTTTGTTCCCATCAAACCAACGTGACCATGCAGTATAATTATACATGTATTTAATTTTAACTTAGTAGCAACAAAAAATAATTCCTGTGCAAAAAATTATCAGAAATTATTGTGTTTAATTTGTTGAGCTAATCTAAAAACAATAATAATGTTACCTATTTATACAGTGCCCTTTCCCAGCAGGTAACAATTCGATGATAAAATTTAATAATATACCTTGTGCACACATCTCAGTGAATGTTCGTCGAACTCGCGACTTAAAGGTCAAATATGAAACACTATTATCAATACGAAGCAAGTACATTTGTGTGGTTGGTATAATAAAGACGATGATAACCACCCAAATCATAGATAGCTTTATGTGAATATATTTTTATCCAATTGCAGTTTTTTTTTTTTTGGCAGGAAAACACATCATGTTTTTGAAACAGTAAGCCAACAACAAAGGGCCTATCCGCCTATCTGCTTGAAAATATAAGTTATACAGTGGTGTACGATAATTAATAATCATACTCTCTTATCACGATACTTATCGATTTATTGATATTTATGAAAGGTTTTCTAGAATAGATTACAATACGAATATTATTCAAGTATTTTACAATAACATAAGTACCTACATATTTATACTATTGTTTTCAAAAAATCAATTACCTATATTTTAYGAAACATTTCTATTGCTAAACAAATAAATACTTAATAATTACATGGTTCTAATTGAGTACCTATATAATATCTAATGACTATACGTAATATAAAAGATAATCTTTTATCTGTCACTTGTCAGTTTAAGAAACTCATATTAAAAAAATATAATATATAATTTTCACTTGAAATGCATGACCTAAGTTTGTCTAGCTGATAGTTAATAATTGTAGCTTCAAGTTATTAATTAATTTTTAAGTTATGATAACAATGTTAATGTAAAATTGACGTTTTTTTTTCGTGCTAAAGGTACTCGATTAAGTTATACGAATGGTTAAAACATRTTTTTTAAATTAAATAAATGTWGATTTTGTTGTTAATTATTTTATAGAAAATGCTTTAAATATTGACTTATTAATGTTGATTGCGTTCTAATTTCTAATTCGTCAATTATAAAAAAAAAAACGTATAAAACGTAAAAACAAAAAGATTTAAGCTTGGAATTAAAATTATACTTGCATCGGAAAAGTTATAAGCCACCAGAAGTTGGAAATTAGTAAGAGGTTGAAGTCAAAAAGCAAACGAAAAATCGGTTCAATGTACATGCAATTGACATGACATAGGTATAATATAAAATTATAGTAAGTACTTGCAGTATTATTAGAAACAACATTCATAGTGATTATGGTTACCGGGTGAAGATGATGATTTGCAGGTAAAACTAGAGAACTGGAAATTGTTTGTTTTAATAAATGTATTAATTGCAATAAAATTGCTGTCTAATGCTTAAGAGTGGAGTCAGCTTCGCGAAGGTGGAGGGCCGTCACGTCCGGAACCAACGTTCGTGGATCTCCGATGGTGAACGTTCATTCTACTCTATCGACTATCACTATAACCGATACCAGATGATCACTAACCAGACGACCTGTTGAAAACCGACCACGAACATTTAAAACAACGAAAATACATATCTGGACAGTTCTACGTCCCTATATATGTGAATTTTGTACGAAGGTGATGGGTAACGAGACCCGTTATCTGTATCCGGTTCAAGATACAAAGATAAAAAAATAATATTTAATTTTCTACCTGAATTATTAATATTAGCCAGTCACGTACTTACAGATGTGCCAAAAATATCAAAAACGAGACTCGTGGCTCCCACTCGCACTACAAAAATCTTATCGCCTGCGAGTCTGGGGGAAAACAGAAGAAAAAGTCCCCCTACATAATTTTGCCCTTCGCCAAAAGATCACGGCCGAAAATAAACTCGGCCCATTGCCAGACAATATTATAAGGTCGAAAGATGACGCGCGTTTATCGACTATAATATAGTCGCCTACGTGTATGGTATTTCGGCGGTTTCGAGGAGAGTGCACGCAATATGAAATATGGCAATAACTATAATAATAATAACGATAAAAATATATCGTAATTGTGTTTAATTACTGTAAAATTGTTGTCATTATATTGTTATTATAATTCGCTGCCTGTGTCGAACCGAACGATGCGATAAACGCGTAATCGTGCGGCTATAATAATCGCTGTCCCGTACCTACAAAAGACGTGTGACCTAACCTATAGGTGTGCTGAAGATTAAAATCGATATTATGCATGAAGTTTATTTCTAAAATTAAATTATTTTTCCCTTACTGAAATAATATCGGCCTAACGAAACGGCGGGATTTCCTGCGCTGTGCCACTGGCGGCGGTGACTTCCTCTCGAAAACGACACGCGCCTATTATAGGTATAGTCATAATATTATGTTTTAACGAATGACTTTGATAAAAAAAAAAAATTGTAGATAAACAAAAACTTAAAGAAAATAATACTTACTGCAGTAGGGTCTTCTTTTTTTCGTTCGACGTGTGAAGCTTCTGATTGTGATGCAGTTTGAATGACTTGCGCAAGTTCAAACGGCAACAGCAATGGTTATGATAACCGCAGATAGGTTACTGTAGATTTTCTGTGTTCGTCGGAGTATAAAATAAAATAAAAATAACAACGTCGACGTGGTGGTATTAACTCTTGATGTTTGTGAATTTGAAATGTTTGAAAAGATTGATGCTAGTTTTGTTTCGTTTGACAGAAAATGTTGTGTGTTACGAAATCTAATAATATTATGTTGGTCTGTACGTGTTCAAACGAGAACCAGAAGAAAAAAATTACAGTAATGCAGCTATCATGCATCGGACACTGATAAACCGAACCATGGCGAACGGTCGTCAGATTTCTTTTCGAGCGAGTCTCAACAGTCGTTGTGAACTTGCTGGCGTTGCGTTGTGCTACGAAGCGTCGACTGAACGTGTCGTAGTAGATATAGTCGTCGTCATCGGTCAGCTCGTCCGATAACGGCGATATCCCACCTCCATTGACGGCACGGGCCAACCGACTCATCCCACCCATCTGTCCTGCCACAAAACGGCGCCAACTTCTAAYCGGACCTTTTAATATTATGATAATAGTAATAATATWWTACAGCCTTTACCGTTTGGATGTACCTTCGGATGATGTTATCAACGATTTGACGGTATAGGTGCATAACAAAACGTGATACACACCATTATATAATATTTTCATAGTATTTAAATGTATTCTGTTATTGCAGTCATTATTATGCTCAACAACGTGAAATCAACATCTGACGTAATGATTATAATTTTTCTATCAAAATTCTACTATCTAAATAAACCCAAATATAAGTGATTTAACGGGGTTGTCGTACTGTCGTTGGTGTGGAAGGAGTCAGTGGGTGCCAAATGCAGCCAATGAGGTTAAAAAAAAACTTATAGCTATTATTGTATTATGTTTACAATAATATTATATACATTAATATGTTTTATTACTCTGAATTAAAGTAGTATTAAATTAGGTATAGGTACTAATTAAATCACTTTTCTCTCAATTTCATTGTTATGAAAAATAAAAATACTTGTCCATAAAATGATTCAGTTGAWATAACTTTCAGTTAATTATTTCTGAATATTAAGTGTTAACTTTTTTTCCRATCTATGAAATGCAGAGTTATACTATAGGTACCTACCCTTACACATTTTCAATTTTTTTATTTTTTTAACTGAAATAAAGATGTTGAATTTGAAGAGTTTAAATAACATTTTTCTCTTTTTATATTAATACCAAGTTACACCAAAAAAATTAGAATATATGCATACAATTTTATTAAAAATACATAAAATKGACTGCTCACCATGTGAGTTGCCAATTGGACATAGTTTACTACTCAGCTGTAGTCTGTACAATGTGTATTTAGCTAATTTTAAGAGAATACATATTAAATCGTAATAGCTAAAAATGGAAGAATACAAAATATAGAATAAAACATGAATTATAACTGTTACAAGTAGTTTAAATAGTAAAGCCAAATTATATGAGCTTATTAATAATTATATATAGAATTTTTATATATAAAATAGGGTTAGCTTCAATAAAAAAAGATGAAAAACTATTGTTTTTATTATTAGTACTGGTACCTATGTGTTTTTACGTTGAATATGATCGAACAATCAGGCTTAGTTTATCGTTCTTACTTATTACCTGGCTTCCTTCAGTGTCTTTTTAGTTATTACACACGTTACACAATAAATATTTAAATATGCATAAAGATGTATTAATAAAAATATAAAAATAATTATTTCCTACTTTCAGGTTAAGTACCTTAAAAGTATTAAAACACGTTTTGGAAAAAAACATAACTAATCAACATGATAATATAGTACTTAAAAGTTCTTACATTTTAAATTCTTTTTTCTTGTTTAMTTTTTCATTTCAAATCAAACTTTATGTTTTAAAAGGATAATCCGTTCAGTGTCACTATGATCACAGTGCCACTTCGGATTTGAATATGAAGCGTATAGTTATATAAACCAATGGTCGGGAACTTGTGGCTCAGGAATCTCATATGGCTCTAACATATTGTAATCTGTGGCTTTTTGAAAAATACATCAATACATCGAAACCCGTAAAATATAAATTTTATTTTAAAAAAATTACAAAATACTACTACTTTGATTGCAAAAAAAAAAGGTTGTTTGATTCCTAGACTAACCTGTGATGCTCTCTGGACAACATGGTTTAGTATTTTTTTTCTAATAAATGGCTTTTTCCAATGAAAAGGTTCCTGACCCAGGATATAATAGATTATAGGTAATTACCATCCAACGTTTTCGTAATAATTAAATCCAGCCTATTATACTATTTATACATCACGATTTATATCTGATAATTGATATTATATAGTAATATTAATATAGTATAGGTTAAAGGCTTAAATGAAGAATATGTAGAACATTGCTACATAAGTCATAAATATAAAATATGWTAATCAACAAGTCTCAGTCGTATATAGATGCAAAATGATTCACAAAAAATATTCGATCTCTTTTTTTCTTCAATAATAGTTATTCAAAATCTGATTTTTGAACAAAAGTATTTAACTAATGATGATAGAATCTATTAATATAGTTTTTAATTTTCCGAAAACTTTTTTACAGTCTCCGTAAAAATATTGGCGCCCTTTGAGATATTCTGGAGGGGGGATATTGCCCCTCCTAACCACCCCTTAAATACGGCACTGTGATAGATTATTTACCAAAAACGTTGTATCAATAAAGTTGTAAGATCTCTATAATTCATTGTAGGATGATAAATTATTAAAAAATGACTTACAATCATTAAAATTATTAGAAGATAAKTAATTATAGTTAAGTGATAGTAATTTATTAAGCATTTAGTTTACACTTAATCGTACATTATTTGTCATTGTATCTGTTATAAAGTCTCTCAACAATAAACTCAAAAAGGCATAGAAATAATGACCCAAAGAAAGCACATTCACAATCAAACCGTTGCTTTGGAAAAAGATTTATTTTACAAATAAATTTTTTTTAATTATTAAAATTTAAAAGAAAGAGTTAAAATAAATAAAATGACTAACATTTGAACTTGAATCAATTCAAATTTTTACTGTCAATTTAAATTCAAACAAAATCAAAATCAAWTATTAAATAATTTGTTATGCTCATAAATCATTTTAATTATATACATTTTCAAAAATTAAATAATATGGTTTTCTGCTAGAATTTCGACACTGGACGACACTAGTACATATTAATATATAATATAAATTAAAAACATATCTTGGTTACAAAATTTGAGTCAAAAAAGTCAATTATGGTCAAATACATGACATAACCCGACATGCTGGTATCCGGTCAATTTAGATTGAAATAACGCACAGAAGAACATCCGAGATTTGAGTAAAGTATGGTAAACCTAGTCAATTAGAAAGTATTATGAAATTATACTTCAAACAATTGTTTTGAAGAGTTCCATTTGAAAATTTTGAAAGTGGAATAGTTATATCTAGCAGAATATGGATGAAGTTTTGAGTAGGTATACCAAAATGAGTTGCAAACTTTGCGTACGTCAGAATCATCATCTATCAAAATATGAAAATAGAACATTTAATGAAAATTACTTATAAATAGCTAATAAAAATACAAATAAAATTGTATGTTATTTTTCTTTAAAAAGTACATTGTTATTCAAAGCTTATTAATTTTATTTTTAATAAGTAAGAAAATTAATCAATTGGTTATATTAGTAATAAAAGTAGGGCAYGGATGTTATTGCATTTGCAACTTTTCTTCTACTTTTCCAATTTATAGTTAAGTAAGTTTTATATACGTTTCATGTAAGTACGAATTCAAATCTAAAAATTTTAAATGCAATTTTTGGAATTTTTTCAATTTTATTAAATTTACTCATTTATACAACTATTTTAACTTTAGTCGAAACTATAGTCGATTTAGCTTATTTTAAATACGCTCTGTTTACATCGACCGACGTAGAACGAAGTTTTTCTAAGTATAAAAACTTATTGTTGCCAATTGAAGAGCATTCGAGTCGAAAATTTAAAAGAAACAATGATAGTACAATGTAATGATGTTTAAATTTCAAAAATTAATATTTTTAGTATACGCATAGATTATTAATTATTCATTATAAATTATAATAATAACTTATTACGCAATAATATTTTTATTTTTCCTTTTGTAAGGAGAACCCGCGACAACATAGGCCATTGGGTGTGGGATGGTACGGTAGGGGTTATTTTTGTATGTTTGTAGGTTTTCAAGTGAGTAGGGTTGTAACACGTGTTTGTGTATGTGTGGCAAGGAGATGTTGCTAAAAATCCCGGGTGTTCACCCATCCGGGAGCTAGCAACKGCGGCCGGTACGTATTTTTTTGATTTTGAAAAACATTTATGTTACATTCATAAAGATTTTGATATACTCGTACATTAAACTTAAACATAAAAACGGTATAATACCTCAAACCCGTGCCAAAACTATAGAATACAATAGAATAGACCGTAGGTCYACATTTTTAGTTTTTCTTTAATGTTTCTACACAATTTATGTTTAATACAAACATAAACATTTTATTTTTATATGAACACAAAAATAATACTTAATTAGTTGAGACGGTTTTTAAATTGTGGGTT